TGACATATTAAGGCTACTCACTCTTTGCTAAAAATGTTTTTGTGTAAATACTTTTGTACGTATGTGCTGTACATACTTTTCCTGGATTGCTCGCCCTTCCTCTATGGCTCACTGTGTAGTATGAGGTTTTCAGTTCTTCTAAGACTTTCTGAAGTCAAATACAGCAATCATTTTTTTGTATTTTTCTTCCTTTGCTTTAATTACTAGAAAATCTTTCCCCACCCAAAGATCAGACAAACAGTTATGTATGTTTTCTCCAGCTGTTTTTATCTGCACTGGAGTCGATTTCAGGGCTGTCTATTCTGGTCCACTGCCTACCCTCAGGGCGATCACTGTCCTCAGTACTGTTGCTTTGGTAACATGCTTCTGTTTAACCTAGTACAGCAATCCCCACCTCAAGACTTTTCTTTTTGACAACTTTCTTGGTTATTCTTACCCATTATTTTCTTCCAAAAGACTTTTAAACTTATCTTGTCAGGGTTAAAAAAAACCCTAACCCTGCTGGTCTTAATGTAATTTTCAATCGCAGTGTCATCTACAGTTCTTAATGAGTGACACTCATTCCAGGAGCTTACCCAAACTTTCAGCATCGCCCACGGTCCAAGCCAGGGGGTAGCCTTTCCTGCCCTGGAAGGATTAGTCTCCAAAGGGAAGGACACAACACGCACACACACACCACACGCACACACGTACATGCCACAGACAGTACACACACACCTGCATATATCACAGACAATACACACACCCCCCACACATAGACCACAGACAGTACACACACTACACACACAGTACACACATACCAGACAGTACACACACACCACACACACACACACAGACCACAAACAGTACACATGCACCACACAGACAGTACACACACACACAGACCAGACAGTACACATACAGAGGCCACAAATAGTACACACACACACCACACACACACCTGCATATATCACAGACAATACACATACACACACACACACACACCATACACACATACTACATACACACATACATACCAGAGAATACACACACAGAGACCACACAGTACACACATGCACATACACCAGACAGTACACACACACACAACACACACTCCTACACATAACACACACACAGACCAAAGACAGTAAAAACACACACCACACACACTTACACATATCACAGACAACACAAAGACCAGAGAGTACACACGCATGCACACACACCAGACAGTACACACATACCACACTCATATACATACCAGACAACACACACACCCCACAGTACACAAACACCACAGACAATACACACACACCCCACAGTACAGACATCCCTCACCATACACACCCCCAGACAGTACGCACACACATCACAGACAGTACACACACACACACACACACACACACACACGTACCCACAACCCAGAGTGCTGCCAGCTTTGCTACTTCCCACCCCAGCTGCACTGTGAGCACCTCCTATGAGCAATGACAGACAGAAGACAGCCCCAACCCAGACACGGAAGGACACCTTCCCCTTCTCAGTGTCCAGCAGGGTCGTCAGAGGGCTGAACTTAAATGTGGGAGCCTTTCTCTTCCAAACATTCTCCCTGACAATGTCCGGGGGACTCCCCTTGGAAGCCTCACCTAGGGCGCCCACTGGGTCCCTCCCTGAGGGACACTCTCTCGGTGTCTATCATGTCTTAAGGGGCCGTTGGAGGAAGGGCATCCCGCAAGTCAGCATATTTCCGAGCACCCGCCCTGCCCCCAAAGTGGCGAAGCACCTCCAGGTTTGCACCTCAATGCAGAGAGACCCAAGGAAGAGTAAGACACGCACAAGGCAGAAGCTCGGGCCCTGTGCCCAGCCCAGCACAGCTGGAGACACAGGAGTTGGGTCTGGTGGGAGGATGAGGAAGGTGGACACCTCAGAGGCTCTGGAACCCGCAGGCTCCTGAGACGGTGCACCAGGCACAGAAGGGCAGCTCTGCTGCTGCCCAGTGGGCAGGGCTCCATGGCTGGGCTGTGGCAGCATTTTCGGGGCCAGCTGGACAGTGAGGCTGTCCGAGAGAGGACGCTGTGTGGCTGTGGGGACCACGAGAGTGACTCAGAAAGTACCTAGAACAGCCACTGACAGAGACATGTCAGGAAATAGCACTGGGCAGAGCCAGGGCAGGGGACATGGGCAGAACCAGGAGCACACTCACTCTTTGGACAGTCCAGGAGGCATCGGGACAAAGCTCTTCTGGATTTTCTTGCCAATCGCCTGAGGCCAGGGGCAAACAGGGGTCCCCTTCTTCCTTCAGACTTTCCGTACACTCCATTTCTCCCTCTGGGGCTGCCACTGTGGAGCCGTTGTTCTTAGAATCTGCAAAGACAGAAGAAGGAAGCGTCACATCTCTCAGGGAAGAGCAAGCTGGCGTCAGGAGTGAAGAGCTGGAGCCCTCGCCACGAGCGTGTGCAGACAGCTCAGCGCCGTCCTCCCTCCAAGGTCCTCTTTGGGCCCGCTGACCTGTGCGGGGTACTATGACTTCTGCTATTGGGTGTGCAGAGACCCCAGCCCCATCCACAATGAGGACGAATCAGTCAGACAGCGCAGCCTGAATGTCTAGCCCCCACCCTTGTCTACATCACTACATCCCCCAGACACCACACTTGGGACAGCAGTGGCACATCTAACTCAACAGCTCTAAAATTCCTCTCTTCCCAGGGGTGGCACCTCTCCCAGCAGCAGTCTAGGGTCTCCTGCCCCCTCCCTTGTCCCGGTACTAATTCATCATCCACCCTGGCCAGTCTGCCTCCAGAATCACACCCATTTGGAGCTGATGTCCACACAGCACTGAGTGCGGTCACTCCAAACCGAGCACCTGATCCAGGGCCCCCTCCCAGCTGCACCTTCAAGAGTTCCCCATTTTCAAAATGGGTCTCAATCCTACCGCTCTTCTCACACACACTCCAGATGGTGACATTTCAAGCCTGGTTTTCTGTCTGGAACCTTCTCTTAACCTGATCCCCGGAGACCCTTTTCCAAGGTCCAGGCCAGCCCCAGTTTCCTGCTGATCCGGGTGCCTCCTCCCCAAGCTCCATCCTGCTTCCCCCCTCCAAGCACTGAGCTGTTTCCTTTCCCTCCTCCTCCTCTGTAAGTTCTAGAAGGCAGAGACCACGCCCCACCGTGTTCCCCTTTGAATCCCATGTGCCTGGATGTACACGGTGCTCAGGAACAAATGAATCCTCTCAACTGCTTGGGCCGGCCTGTGGCTCACTTGGAAGAGTGTGGTGCTGATAACGCCAAGGCCACAGGTTCGGATCCCATATAGGGATGGCTGGTTAGCTCACTTGTGAGAGCATGGTGCTGACAACACCAAGTCAAGGGCTAGGATCCCCTTACAGGTCATCGTTAAAAAAATAATAATAATAATAATAATAATCCGGGCCGGCCCAGTGGCGCACTGCTACAGTGCGCCGCTTGGGAAGCGCGGCGGCGCTCCCGCCGNCACATACAGAGGCCACAAATAGTACACACACACACCACACACACACACACAGACCACAAACAGTACACATGCACCACACAGACAGTACACACACACACAGACCACAGACAGTACACATACAGAGGCCACAAATAGTACACACACACACCACACACACACCTGCATATATCACAGACAATACACATACACACACACACACACACCATACACACATACTACATACACACATACATACCAGAGAATACACACACAGAGACCACACAGTACACACATGCACATACACCAGACAGTACACACACACACAACACACACTCCTACACATAACACACACACAGACCAAAGACAGTAAAAACACACACCACACACACTTACACATATCACAGACAACACAAAGACCAGAGAGTACACACGCATGCACACACACCAGACAGTACACACATACCACACTCATATACATACCAGACAACACACACACCCCACAGTACACAAACACCACAGACAATACACACACACCCCACAGTACACAAACACCACAGACAATACACACACACCCCACAGTACAGACATCCCTCACCGTACACACCCCCAGACAGTACACACACATAACTCACAGACAGTACGCACACACATCACAGACAGTACAGACACACACACACACACGACATCCCTCACCATACACACCCCCAGACAGTACGCACACACATCACAGACAGTACACACACACACACACACACACACACACACGTACCCACAACCCAGAGTGCTGCCAGCTTTGCTACTTCCCACCCCAGCTGCACTGTGAGCACCTCCTATGAGCAATGACAGACAGAAGACAGCCCCAACCCAGACACGGAAGGACACCTTCCCCTTCTCAGTGTCCAGCAGGGTCGTCAGAGGGCTGAACTTAAATGTGGGAGCCTTTCTCTTCCAAACATTCTCCCTGACAATGTCCGGGGGACTCCCCTTGGAAGCCTCACCTAGGGCGCCCACTGGGTCCCTCCCTGAGGGACACTCTCTCGGTGTCTATCATGTCTTAAGGGGCCGTTGGAGGAAGGGCATCCCGCAAGTCAGCATATTTCCGAGCACCCGCCCTGCCCCCAAAGTGGCGAAGCACCTCCAGGTTTGCACCTCAATGCAGAGAGACCCAAGGAAGAGTAAGACACGCACAAGGCAGAAGCTCGGGCCCTGTGCCCAGCCCAGCACAGCTGGAGACACAGGAGTTGGGTCTGGTGGGAGGATGAGGAAGGTGGACACCTCAGAGGCTCTGGAACCCGCAGGCTCCTGAGACGGTGCACCAGGCACAGAAGGGCAGCTCTGCTGCTGCCCAGTGGGCAGGGCTCCATGGCTGGGCTGTGGCAGCATTTTCGGGGCCAGCTGGACAGTGAGGCTGTCCCAGAGAGGACGCTGTGTGGCTGTGGGGACCACGAGAGTGACTCAGAAAGTACCTAGAACAGCCACTGACAGAGACATGTCAGGAAATAGCACTGGGCAGAGCCAGGGCAGGGGACATGGGCAGAACCAGGAGCACACTCACTCTTTGGACAGTCCAGGAGGCATCGGGACAAAGCTCTTCTGGATTTTCTTGCCAATCGCCTGAGGCCAGGGGCAAACAGGGGTCCCCTTCTTCCTTCAGACTTTCCGTACACTCCATTTCTCCCTCTGGGGCTGCCACTGTGGAGCCGTTGTTCTTAGAATCTGCAAAGACAGAAGAAGGAAGCGTCACATCTCTCAGGGAAGAGCAAGCTGGCGTCAGGAGTGAAGAGCTGGAGCCCTCGCCACGAGCGTGTGCAGACAGCTCAGCGCCGTCCTCCCTCCAAGGTCCTCTTTGGGCCCGCTGACCTGTGCGGGGTACTATGACTTCTGCTATTGGGTGTGCAGAGACCCCAGCCCCATCCACAATGAGGACGAATCAGTCAGACAGCGCAGCCTGAATGTCTAGCCCCCACCCTTGTCTACATCACTACATCCCCCAGACACCACACTTGGGACAGCAGTGGCACATCTAACTCAACAGCTCTAAAATTCCTCTCTTCCCAGGGGTGGCACCTCTCCCAGCAGCAGTCTAGGGTCTCCTGCCCCCTCCCTTGTCCCGGTACTAATTCATCATCCACCCTGGCCAGTCTGCCTCCAGAATCACACCCATTTGGAGCTGATGTCCACACAGCACTGAGTGCGGTCACTCCAAACCGAGCACCTGATCCAGGGCCCCCTCCCAGCTGCACCTTCAAGAGTTCCCCATTTTCAAAATGGGTCTCAATCCTACCGCTCTTCTCACACACACTCCAGATGGTGACATTTCAAGCCTGGTTTTCTGTCTGGAACCTTCTCTTAACCTGATCCCCGGAGACCCTTTTCCAAGGTCCAGGCCAGCCCCAGTTTCCTGCTGATCCGGGTGCCTCCTCCCCAAGCTCCATCCTGCTTCCCCCCTCCAAGCACTGAGCTGTTTCCTTTCCCTCCTCCTCCTCTGTAAGTTCTAGAAGGCAGAGACCACGCCCCACCGTGTTCCCCTTTGAATCCCATGTGCCTGGATGTACACGGTGCTCAGGAACAAATGAATCCTCTCAACTGCTTGGGCCGGCCTGTGGCTCACTTGGAAGAGTGTGGTGCTGATAACGCCAAGGCCACAGGTTCGGATCCCATATAGGGATGGCTGGTTAGCTCACTTGTGAGAGCATGGTGCTGACAACACCAAGTCAAGGGCTAGGATCCCCTTACAGGTCATCGTTAAAAAAATAATAATAATAATAATAATAACGATCCGTTGCCGGTCACGAAAATAGACAAAAAGGAAAAAAAAAATCCTCTAAACTTCTACATACACAGACACAAACACACAAAAGCTTACAGTAGGGCTGGTCAGCTGGCTCAGCTGGTTAGAGTGTGGTGCTGATAATACCGAGGTCCAGGGTTCAATCCCTATACCAGCCAGCCACCAAAAAACACCCCCCCAAAAACCTCATATTCAAAAAGTAAAAGCTGGGAAATAAACTGTAACACACAACACCTCAAGCTACTTCCTTTGCACAGCTGATATTTCATAATTAACGGGATTCCGCTCATTCTCCCTCCTCCCGCTGGAGGGCAGGCCCATTAGCCCACTCCAGTGAGAACCGGGCACTTCCCCCAGCCCCAGTGACTGACTCGAAGACAGGCCCATCGGTAAAGAAGCCTCTGGCTTGCTCATTGGGGTTTCTGACAGATCCACTCTCGCCTTCTAGAGGGACCGAAAGATGGGACGTAGGAGACCACTGTGCTGTCCAGCCTGCGGGCACAGCTGGATGGAGGAGAGGCAAGGCTGCCAGGACCAGAGGAGAGAGCAAGAGCCCTCTGCACACCTGAAGCCCTCGGGCCTGACTTGGGCCAGGCAGCCCAGGCCTTCCTCCCGCCGAGCAAGCCAGGGGAGCCGGGTGTAGAGCTAGGGCTAGGGCTCACAGACCCCTCAAACCCATTGTCCAGATTGGGTCACAAACCCTCCACATGCAGGTCTACGAGCGAGGTAATAGGAAAAATCCTTGGAGCCGTGTGTGAAGAAATAATAGGCTTTATTCAGAGCTCGGAGCAGCCGACCTAATGTGGCTTCCCGGGATGTCCTCTCAAAGCTTCGCACATCTGCCTCCTCGGGAGCAATCAAAAAATCCTTTAAATCCACTGAGCGTACCTTGCTACCTGTTTCCAAAGATTTGGTGAAACGCTGTTAGGGGCACAATTGCTGCCACAAGGCAAATGGGACTGCATTTGGCTGCCGGTCAATTTTCTTTTTATCAACCCCTGCTGTAGGCAAGTCAAGACACATCTCCTTACGGCTAGTCTTGCTTGGTCCCTTTGGGATAAAATCCCAAGTATTCCTTGGGAGTTTGGTCTTAGCCACCTTTCGGACCACTTTTGCTTGTCTTCTATCCTCTACCTCACCCAGGCTGGCTATCATGGTTGTTACCTCATGTATAGGGCAACCAATGTAGGGGGCCAGTATAGTCATCATTGATGGGGCATTCTGCAGCACTATGTCTCTCATGCTGCCTGTAAAATTTTCATCGTCTGGGCCACGAGTGTTCACATTAAACATGGACTGCCCCATCCCCAGCTCCCTAATTATTTGAACCAACTCTACATATGTTTGCCATTTACTCACAATCTTGGGCAGTTCTCTAGCATTCGACCATATGGTTCAGGCAGCTGCACTCACCCAGTCCATCAAGGAATGATCACCTCACCCTTGTGCATATCTGCAGCTATTCTGCAGCCGCTGCCTATGGTGATGGAGGCCAACTTCTCCATCTCCTCACCAGAGTATATCACACTATCCAACCCTAGGTTCCATAACCACAGCAGCCAAGCAGCCAGGGGATTCCCCCGTTTCTGCCTGAACTGTCTTTCCAAGTCAACTAATTCAACCTGGGTATACAGGACATAGGTAGTGAATTGGGTCACCTGTGGCTCGCCCACTGGTTGTCCGCCTGGTCCCATAGGCTGCTCACGTTTCACTTTCTGATGCACAACAGGTCATGCCTGGAGACGCACAGTCTCCCCCAACTCACCACTGGGTTTGTCGTCTTCCCCGGTGTGAGAAGCAGGTATGGCCAGTCACTGCATGTCATCCTCCAGGACATTTATCTGTGCTTCCAACAACTCTGCTTTCTGCTTCAACTCTTGATCAGTTCTCAGCATAGTGAGCAGTAGCCAGGCTCCAGTCAGCAGAAAAGTGGCCACCAGGGACCACATGCTCAAGGACAGCCACACTTCCTCCCCGGCCCATGGGGTTCTCCACTGTAGTGCCTGGCCTATGCTGCCTTGCAGTACAGTGAGGAGCTACCAGATCCCGGTCAACAGGAAGGCGGCCATAGGGCAGAGCATATTCAAAAATAGCCACATTTCCTCCTCCCAAGAAGCTTTTGGCTCCCGTACCTGCTCAGAATCCTGCCAGACTATGCCAATTGTAGAGTTAGGGCTAGGGCTCACAGACCCAAGCCCGTTGTCCAGACTGGGTCACAAACCCTTCTGTATGGCTCTCTGGCTTTTGTCGGAATCCTGCTCATAGCGCCAATTGCAGAGCTCCTTTTACCTGCCCGTAATCCTGCACTGACTGGGCCAAATGTCGTGCTAGGGCTGGGTCTGGAGCTCACAGACCCCCTCAAGCCCGTTCACAGACTGGGTCACAAACCCCGCACACGCCAGGCCGGGTCCCCAGACCCCTCACACGCCAGACTGGGTCCCCAGGCCCCTCACACGCGGGTCTATGAACTAGGTAACCGGCAAACAGGTCCTTGTAGGCCTGTAGGATGGAGAGCATGGCCGCACACATGGCGGCCGCCCAACGCAGTAAAAAGCCCGCCAATGGCGGCTCCGCGCAGGCGCACCAACTCCGCCCACACGCAACGTATTCACAGCAAATGCTCGGCAAGATTCCGAGCATCTGAGGGCCCCGACCATCCTCCTACACTCTCCCAACACCTTCACACGCAGGTCACGAGCGAGGTAAGAGGAAAAGGCCCTGGGAGCCGTGCGTGAAGAAGCAACAGGCTTTACTCGGAGCTAGGAGCAGCCGCCCTCACACGGTTGCCCGCGCGTCCTCCCCAAGCCCCTCTGCGGGCGCGGTTCGTCCTCTACACTCAAGCCCACAAGCCAAAACCACCCTCCTGGGTGCACATGCGCACTCACAGGACACCGTGCGCACGCGCACGCCCACCTCAGCCGCTGCGCAGACGCCGGACATCCGGGGCTCTGACCGTCCTAGTCTCCCAACACTGGGCTTCCGTCAACGCCATGCCTGCGAATGTCCGTAGGAGAACAAAGCAAAACGAAACAAGCTTTCCTAAAGAGAAGCAGGCAAAAGCAACAGAAAAGAAGCACGTGTGGCTTCAACTTTCAAAAACGCCTGGCCTCCCCACCCGTCAAGGCAATCGGCATGGCACCGGTCTGGTCGGCATCGCCGGGCGGTCGGGCAGGGTCGCTCACTCCCGGGGCTGGAGCGGATGCGCGTGGGAGCGCGCCCTCGGGGACACGTGGCGAGGGCGGCCGGAGAAGCCGTGTGCAGGGGATCAGCAGCGCGCCTTCTGCTGTAATGCTGGGAGTTCGTCTCCGGAAACTGCCCGGCTCCGGGACGAGATCTCCCAGCAAGGTCACGGCTCAGCGGGGGCCACGGCAAACCGTGGAAGAACCCAAGGGCCCAGGCCGGCTGCCGAGTCAGGCCCCGCATGGGGCAGGGCAAAGGTGTCACCGAGGCCACCATCACCCGGAGGCCGCAGCCTGGCACTGCAGGGAGGCGAAGCGTGTGCGTGGCCCCCGGCTCCGAGCCTGCGTGCATGCATGCGCTTCGACGTGGAGGGGACACGTCAGTTAACAGTGTTGTTCAGCGGAGGGAGACAGGGCTGGAGCCAGGACGGGGACCTCATGGTGTCCTCCTGTAATGTGCAGGTCATTTGCCACAAGCGTGCAAATGTAAGAAGGAAAGTAGCTGGACTCGATTAGCACTTACTAAGCGCTTCACCCGTTAACTCATTAAATACTCATAGCCACCTGGATTAGGGTTGTCCAGGGAGACAGAACCAGTAGAATATGTAGACAGACGGATGGATGAGAGATTTATTAGGGAAGTGGCTCATGCCAATCATGAAGGCTGAGCAGTCCCAGGACAGGCTGTCTGCAAGTTGGAGACCCTAGGATGCTGGCAGCTGCGCTCAGTGTCTGAAGGCCTAAGAACCAGGGAAGCCAAGGGTGTAACTCTCAGTCCCAGGCAAAAGGCCTGAGAACCTGGGGGGCCGCTGGGGTAAGCCCTGGGGTCCAAAGGCTGGGGTTCTGATGTCCAAGGCAGGAGGCGAATGTATCCCAGCCCCTGGATACATTTTTGCCTTTCCTGTTCATTCTCTCTGGGCCCAGACTGAATCATGCCTTCCCATGTTGAGGGCAGCTCTGCCCCACCTAATCCACTCAGGCTCCCACGCTAATCTCTGGAAACACACTCACAGACACATCCAGAAATAATGCTTTATCAGGTTTCTACACATTCCCAAATCCAGCCAAGTTGACACCTAAAATTACCCATCACACCCTTTCCACCAACACCCAGGTATCCAGGGGTTTCTGAGAACACTGAACCTGGCCTCCACTGGCCCCACAGGGCCCTGCCCTGCCCAGGCTCCTGGGGGACCAGCCTGCCTGGGTCCCCCTCTCCTGCAAGTGGCTGACAGGAGGAGCCACCGCCTTCTAAGCAGCTCCAGTCAAGGCCCCATCATGTTGGTTTCAGTTTCTGTTCCTTTAACAAGCACAGCTGGGTGTGGGGAAGCTTGCTCATGGTGGCCCCAGGCCAGCCGGGCACCTAACGAGGTGGACAGCCACCCCTGCCCACCCTCCCCACCTACCAGGACAGGCACTCCCCCCGCCCAGCAAGGCAGCCGCTGGCTCTAGTTCAAGTATGAGAAGACTTAATGACATTTTGTAAAAATGCCACACACCCTTGTTCTCGGACAAATCTTCATGTTGTTTTTTCTGTTCTGTTGACAAACACGTCGGCTGCCCTCACAGCCCCAAGAAGGCCCCTCACTCAAAATGAAAGGAGAGGCAACGGGAGGGGAAACTTTCAGGAAGACCCTCTGAGAGGGCAAATATGAAGAGCCCCGTTTTCCCAATGGGATCTGAGACTAAATGAAGCCCCCCCCAGGTGCTCTGTCTGCCCCACACCACCCCTTCTCAGCTCAGTCACAGACAACCCTGTTTCACTCTGTCACAGTAATTACTTTTAATCCCCGGGGCCCACACTTGATGCCGGCCTCCCCCGACTGCAGGCCATGAAGGCAGAGGCTAGAGCTGTTCATCCACAGAACCCAGGTGGGCCCCAGAGGGTTCAAACCCTGTCTCTGCCAGTTGCTAGCTGTGTGACCATGGGCAAGTTACTTAACCTCTCTGTGCTTCTCTTAACATCTGTAAAATGGGATTTATGACAGCTGCTCCTTCAATGCTTAGCACAGTGCCTGACAAGTCACAGTTTAGCAGGTTGGATTTGTTTTTTTAATCTCTGGGACTCCAAAGACCTTCCCCTCCCAAGGCCCTAACCCAGGCAGATGTTCTAGCAACCAAGGGTGAAGACCCCAGACAGGTCAGAAATTCCCCCTGGCACAGGAAACTCAGCCATCCCATGACTCAGTACCTTGACAGCAAGAAATGGATAACAAGAGCAGGCACCCAGATGATTACTGAGAGCACCCAATTCCATGACCCGTCAGGCCCGGGGTGTTCCAAATGAAAGGGTGGAGCCCTCAAAGCTGTCTTTCAGCCAAAGCTGCTCCCCACAGAGTAAGCACCAAAGAAAATCGATAAAACAAAAATCAGTGACGAAAAGCAGCAGGCTCTTCGTATCTCTTGTAGTCCAATAAAAGCCCCTACAATATGAGCACTCCATCCAAACGCACAGAATGAGAGTGACGTCAAGACCGGTCGGCTGCAACTCAAAGCCAAGCGCGACACCAGCGAGTCCCCAGAGGCAAGCAGGACATGCTGGTACTGACAACACTCACAGACTATATACATAGGCACAGCGCATGTTCAGAAAACACGCACGGTCTCTCGCAAACCTTCTTTGATGCATGCATCGAATAAATGTCGAGCACCTGTCATGTGCCAGGCACTGAGCGAGGAACCTGGGATAAAACAGCGAACAGGAGAGCAAAGGTCTCCTTGGAAGCCACACACCAGTGTGTGCCAAGTGCTACATGGACAAATGGCCAGGTGAAGTGCAACTGGGAGTCTGGGGGAGGGGCAGGTTGTAGTTTTAAATGGAGTGGCCAGGGTGGGACTCACCAGAGGAGGTGACAGTTGGGCAAAGACTGGAAGAGGGGCGGAAGGGAGCCATGTTCCCTTTGGGGAAAGGTGTGTTCCAGGCAGAGGGAACGGGGTACAAAGGCCCTGCAGTTGGAGCACACCTAGTGTGTCCCAGGGAGGCGAGTGGGCTCTGGGGGGCAGCAGGAGAAGAGGTCAGGAGGAACGGGGTGTGCAGCACTCTGTGCAGGACCTTGTGGGCCAATGCATGGACTCCAGCTTGCACTCTTCGTTACATTGGGGTCTTAAAAGGGGATATGTGATTTGATTGCTATGCTGAGGAGGGCAAGGGGAGGCAGGGAGGTCAGGGCCTCTTGCCATCATCCCCAACAGGACGGCGGTGGCTTTCCAGGGTGGAAGTTGTCAGACCTTGGGGAGGTTTGGATGGTGCGGCCCACAAGGTCTTCTGGGAGCTGGATGTGGGCATGAAGGAAGGAGAGGAGCCGAGGACTGTGCCGGGCTTGGGCAGAGCTGCTGCAGGGTGAGTTGCCCTGCTCAGTGGAAGTGACGGCCTACGGGGAGCTGGGCTTTGGGCACGGAAAGGCTGAAGGTCTCAGATACCCATGTAGACAGGCTGCTCAGGCGAGAGGTCCAGGACGCAAGCATTAACTTGGAGCTGCCACTACATGGACAGCATTGACAACCTGGAACTGCCAAGAACAGCCCTGAGGGAGGAGGGAGACCAGAGTCCGAGGCCCACCTGACACCGTGGCTCTGCTCCTGTCACTCAGCCGCCCTGAGCCAGGAAGGGGCCTGGGGAAGCTGTGGGGACCTCTCACAGTCACCTTACAACCAAACCCAGGCACAGTCCTCACCCCCCAGCAACACCTCAGACACGCTTCCGTGCAACATCTTCTGCAATCCTCTAAGAACCCTCAGCCCAGTTCCCTCTAGTTCTCTCTAGGAAACGAAACTGAAACTTTAAAAAACAGTGGTGGGGCCAGCCCCGTGGCGCACTCGGGAGAGTGCAGCGCTTGGGAGCGCAGCGGCGGGCCACGGTTCGGATCCTATGTAGGGATGGCCGGTGCGCTCACTGGCTGAGCGCAGTGCAGGCGACACCAAGCCAAGGGTTGCGATCCCCTTACCGGTCACAAAAAACAGACAAAAAATAATAATAATAAAATAAAATAAAAAACAGTGGTGCCTCTAGCAAAGGACCCATCACAGTTGTTCTAACGAAACTGTTCTTCTTGAAAGAGTTCTTCGGCCACAGAAGACCTCTGGCCTGCCTGCATTGCCTGCTGGCCTCAGTTCCCATTTCCTGGAAAGGGGCGGGCCAGGACTGGCTCTCCGCTCCATCGCGGGTGTCCCCACTGCCCCCACTCAGCCCCCAGTACCCACCAGCGCCCCCTTGGGCCGTACCTGGCATGGGGACTGCAGGAGGCAGCCTCTTTCCACACTGGCTGCAGAAGATGGGGGCTTCCTCTTTGGAGACATGCCGGCACGAAGGACACTGCATACCTCCTCCAGTTCGGGGCTTCGAGAGGCCCGCGCCGTCCTCTTCAGATCTGGAAGCAAGAGTCCGAGGCAGCGGCTATATAGCACGCCTCCTGTCATGTGACCGCGGCCCTGCTTCAGTTTCATTTTCTGGGAAAGTGAAATTACTGTGGCCCAGAAGGTCCCCAGCATGTGCCAGCGGCGGCGGCCCCTCCCCCGCCCAGCCCCTCCTCCCGGTCCTGGGCTCCGCTTCCTCTGCTGCCCCCTGGGCCGCTCCCTCCGCGTCTCTGCCACTGCCTGTCCCCCAGTGAGTCTAAAAGGGTCCCTGCTGAGTGGGAGGGAGTGACAGGGCGCCCGCTGAGGGGGGCTTCCCCAAGACGACCGCTGAGAAAGGAAGAGGAGGTGGGAGCGCTGGAGGCAGAGACGCGGGGCAGTGAAACGCACACATGAGACCTGGGTGGCCACGTGCTGTCCAGCGCAGCCCTGCCCTGCCAGGCACGCAGCCTCATGGTGCCTCGCCCTACTCATCTGGGCAAGGGGCCAAAAGCACCTGCTTTACTGGTGAGGACGCGACTCATCGAGGCTCGGCTCTTAGGGCACCGCTGGAACACCAGCGGCCACTCTGCACAGGGCGGCCCAGGGCTAAGGGGCTGGCAGTCTGGATTCCTAATAACAGGGGGAGGGGACTGCCACCTACGAAGCCCCCCACTTTTCTCATTGACCTACAGCCCTCGGAGCACCCTCTATGGTGGGCAGCATCAAACTAGGTGAGGTCCACAGCTAGTCCAAGGCCAAGACCAAGATTTAGGGTGGGCACCCGGGCCTCCAGGCCACTCATCACATTGGGATGAGGTTGGGGACTGGCGTTTAGGTCTTGGCCGCCTAATGTGACGAGGTAGATTGATTTAGCTTATGCCATTTTTACTGTTAGAAAAGTGTTCTTATTTGAAAGCCCCCAACACCTGTGGTGAAAATTGAAGGTTAAAAATTGTCCTGTACTTAGATAAATTTTAAGTTCTGCCTGCCTTTGATGTTTCCCACCTATGCTGTCCCTGATTGATAAAACCAAGAGCTGTATCCGGATGCATCTAGACAACCTAAGGAGGAAACTGCCCCATGGAAGTTTTTGCCGTCCCTAAGTGATTAACTGGCTTGTTTCAGCTTCTGTTAGCAGCTTGTGCTAGGCCTCCCCCAACCCCCTCCTCATGCCAGGAAGGTATGTGTGTGACTATGTGCCTTTAAAAGACCCCTTAAACTTAAACTCAGGGCTGCTTCCTTCCAAGGCTTTCTTGGAGGAACAGTCACCGGCCGGCCAATAAAACCCCCCTTTTAAATTCTCCATTGGGTGTTCTGGTTCCTTTTCCGTGCAGCAGCCTCACACTAGCAGTTGAGGATCTGACTCTCCATGATAAGAGTCCTGGGGCACACTGACCTCCCCACCACCCTTTCCTGGTGCTGCAGCAGTGCCGAGCTGGCTCCATCACCAGCTGGCTGGGCACCCAGGCATCCTCCCAGCTCCCACCTCGCCACCCACCCTTCCCTATCCTCTCCCTGGGGCGTGGCGCCCCATCTGCCACAGTGGGCTTGGTCCCCATTACATGGTGAGCTCTCTCGGGAAGGGCTGGAAGGAGGAGCACTCGGGATGTGCAGCCCCCTGGCTTCACCTGTGCAAGACTAAAATACTCCACCCCAAAATATACTTCTTTGACATATTTCAAGAGGCTATTCAGTGAAACTGCAGACACAGGAACAGCTCGGAAAAGCTGTCCTTTTGTAAAAGAAATTTACATCTATAAAGGAATCTACATTAGTAAGGGGGGGAGGGGGAAACGCAAGCCAAGGAGAGCTTTTCTCTGAGGCCCCCCTTACCTGCCTAAAAACCTCCCTAGGAAAAATCAGGTCCCAGGAAGAGACTAAAGGTCATCACATCTCCTCCCCAAAGAGCCACAGGACACCTATTCTTCTGGGGATAGCTCTGACATTACCTGAGAGACTTTATCTGCATAACAATCCCTCCCCTCCCCCTCCCAAAGCTTGTCCCCACCTCCCCCCAGAAGCCCCAAGGCCCTATTCTGATGTTGTAAAAATTTCAATCACCTGGCCCTTCTTTGAGTCTTACATTTTGTGAGGTTCCCGTGTGTGCATTTAATAAATTCGTGTGGCTTTTCTTCTGTTAATCCATCTACTGTCAGTTTATTCCAGAGACTCAAATTATGGAACCTGCAGGAAGTAGAGGGAACGTTTAGAACTCCCCTGCACCTGCCACAGCTAGGTCCCGGGCCTCCCCACATCCCCTTCTCTCCACACTCCCCCCTGAAGCAACCACCACCAAGGTCTGGGCCCTCTGGCCCTCAAACCCCTTCGGTGACTCCCCGTCGACCCAGCCTCTCTCTTTCCAGCCAAAGTTGTCTCTGCCAATGCTTCGCTTCCCACAGACCAGAAACCTCAGAGCAGGACTTGGGCGATCCTCCCCAAAGCATCGTTTCCTGTCTGCACCAGGGGCCTGCAGACAGAAGTGAGTGCCCCAGGCTACCATACTTCCCTATTCAAGCTACCTCCAGACTTTCCTGATCCGTGACAAACTCAAAGCCCATCCCCCAACCGCCACCAAAGAAAACAAGGTCGGGCTCTGGGGACAGAGAGGGGCCTCCCACCATCTTTGTGCTGGCTCCTCCCCTCCCGCCCGGGCCTCCCCAGGACCGATCTCGAGGCCGCCATCCGGGAGGGGGGACACCGTGGCCTTGAGTCCCCTCCCCCCCGGCGGCCCTGGAAAGTTCGAGGACGCAGCGCTCTGGTGCTGCGCCGGGGGTGATGCCTGTCTTGGAAAAGTCACTTTGAAATAAAGATAAGGGGATCTTTCTGCAACTGCACTTTTCAGTTGAAGTTAATGGAGGCCACGGACTTCGGGCGGAGCCGCGGGCCCCGGCTTCGGCCGTCCCGGTCCCCCATCGGCTCGCGCCCCGGCCCCAGCTCCTGCCCGCCGGACTGGGGCGGGTCGCGGGGACCGTGCCCTCCGGGGATGTCGCCGGGGTCCCTGGGGGATGCCTCTTCCCCCCGCCCCCCGCC